CAAAAAACGAAGGGGCTGAAAAGGAATTTGTCGGCTTTCGCTGCATGTGCTCCAACTTCGACCATTGCATCTACCTAACAATGAAGGCTGCTTATGGATGCGCTCATGAATTAGTAATAGTTCCACCAAAACAAGCATACGAAGGGGATGAAGATCCCAGAGAGGAAGCCTGAACGATGTCTGTCTTTGAGGCGTTCCCAAATTGTAATTACAAATGTACCGTTATGCATGTAGCGATGAAAATGGGAAAGATATATCAAAAGACGAAGGGAGAAGAGAAGAATGCATCCAGTAAAAGATGGGAGAGGGAGAGAATAATGAGCAAGGGCTCTTGAGAAGCGAACCAAGGTGGGATAGATAACACGATTCCGCGAACCCATTTTCTCAATGAAAAGATGCTGCGCGGTCAAGCCCGAACCCCACTCGGAGTCAAGTAAGGAAGATGAGGAGGCAGAAAAAGGCTATGCACCAATAAATTAAAAGTCCACCCAAATCGGCATTAGCACACCGCACCGGTTCCCCTGCACAGTTTGTATGTAGGGAAGGTTATTAACAAGTTCGACCTTCATAAAGTCAAAAAGAAGTACCTGCGCCGAGCGGAAATGGAGAAAAAAGCAAAGTCCAAAACTAGGGAGGGAGAAAGTATGCGAGTCTACTAAAAAAAACCTGATACAACTGTTTTGCTTTTCAAAATATGCAGACAAATGATTAATAAAGCAATAAAACGAAAGGAATTGCTAAGAAGTGCCCGTGGTTAAATATGCATGAATTATAAAACCACAAGCCATCCCACATCGGTCTATTTATGCTTCATTTGAACGCAGATAAACGTTGCAAAGAATACTGGGATAGGAAGCTAAGATTAAATTAATGAATACCTTTAGAAACCCATTGAGAGCAAAAGGTCGTTTCAAAAGACACATGGATGCTTTTCATAGGGAAGTGACTTAAAGAAGACATTGCTTCTGGTAACTTAATTGAGGACTGATTATAGCAAGATGTTCTAATTAGAAGATGAAGACAAAATAAAGATATAACTTCAATGCATAAGTCTGTGAGAAAGCATTGTAATGATGTATGAATCGTCCTTCCCCATTTCATCTAAAAAAACATGCAGGTCAGGGACAAATGGCCACCGAATAGAGGGCAAGAAGGGAGTACAGATGAAATACGAGGACATTAAGGTGGAGCCATTAAAAGGCTTGAATTAAGTAGATGTGCCGCGTGCGCACATGCAATGGACCCAGCACAGCAGGCATCACCCAAGTAGGCCTGGTCGCCTTGTTTCGCTTTGACTCGGACTGGACGAAACAGGTACCCCGCTTCCTGCCCCCTCCTATCCTTTGGCGTTTGAAGTATGCTTCTTAAAGCCACAAAAAGGCCAACTGTTGGTAGGCCACTGGTGGGCATTTTCGATTTAGAGGAGGAGGCAGCTGCACTAGACAAGGTGAATCATTACAGCACAATACAAATGGCATTACTGTTGCGGATGTCGAGGTTAGCTTTGCGCAAAGGAAATGGGTACGTACGCAACGCCCCAAACTGTCTTATACCAGAGGCAATGGGTTGCGGATTTAAGGACAAACGATTGGATTGGGGACGAATACATCGAATTCGGGTGAATGAAAAGGCAATAGGGTGCAAATTGATGAAGGCAGGAGAGCGCATAAAAAGGGAGGACATGGTAGCAATGGCGACATGAGTAGAGAATGTATAAGATTAATAAGTAGGTAAATGGTTAAGCCGGAGTACAAGTGGACCGGAGATGTAGGAAACGGATGGATGAACAGAGTTAAGATGGATTTGTAAGTGGATTAAGAGTAGGGATGAAGAATGGTTAGTCTGCTTATAGCGATGGTTAGTCAGTTCGATGAAAGACGACTAGACGGGTCGGAGAAGTCGAAAAGAATGAACCAAGATGGTAGATGAACGATGAATAGAAGAGAGAGGCCGTAACAACAATGAGTCATCACAGAAATTGTGCAAGCATCAGTTAGAACAACTGTTCTAATTCATAGCGCAACATAATAATAAGACACTTCCTGCCAGTCCGCTGACTACACCCATGGCTATGACTGCCTGTGGGTGTGAGCGAAGCCATTAGCACGGTTATGTCAGAGCCCCAGCATCCAACCAGATGAAATACCCATTTGTGATAGCAAAACGGCCCCCTTCTCTTCAGAGGTTGATTTACTAAGTCAACTTGGCCTGTCTCGTTTAATTAGACACATGGAATAAGCGTTTCTAAGACCAAAAAGACCCAGACTGATGAAATCAGTGTTACAAAGAACTGGTGGTGTCCAAAAGCAAAGCCGAACGATTTCGGATATTTGGCAGAAAAGAAAACAACTGACACCTTCAATGACAGTTGAAGTGGAGACAGATTCAGAAAAGCGCAGTTTCCTTGACAAGTGGCAGGGAATTTTATGGTCTGTAAAAGTGAAAGCAATGCATCTGAAACGGGTCTTTGAGAGCCCAAGATGATATCCACAAGTAGATTAATAATGGGTGGTTGAAACTAATTGATCAACCTTGGACAAAAGTCGAATGGACAGAAATATTGCTAACAAACCAAGCTGAGTGGACTAATGAATGAACTCAAAAATGAATGGAAAGAGGGAAGGAATGGACACAGAATGAGATACGTAGCAAACAGGTGATCTGATAGGGCACTAGTGATCAGGCCGGTAGAGCGAGCAAATTGGTGCTAAGCACGTGGAATGCTGATGAAATGAGGGTAGATTAGAAAAGAACAGACTCCAGAGGGGTGGTTGGGTGAAATAACATTAAAGCAATTTGCCATGACCAAAAATTAAAGAACCAGACTTTTGGCAAATAACTGAGAAGACCCCATACACCTAAGGTTTGCAGATTCATTCACAACTGGGAAACTGAGATGGTGGACACGAAAGGCAACTAGAAAGGTGCCTAGCCCAAATGCACACCAGCAGCTAACCCAACTATGTAATCGTCTGAAAGCTTAAAAAGCACCCAGATCATCGAAAAAATATTCGAAAGATAAGACATTTTGATGCATTTAAAAAGTCACGATTCCTTAGTATATGTTTGGCTGCTTTTCATAACCACTTGAACAAGGCTAAAACCGGCCAAAAAGGCATAAAACGAGCATTTTATTCGCTCGAAAATGACCAGTAAGGAGTGGGCTGTGACCAACGCTTTATATAGGTTCGGTTGAAACAAGAGCAGCTATTTTAGGCCGCACATAAATTAAAGTGAGAAGGAGGGGTAATAAAAGACCTCAACAAGGACGAAAATATTTTACCCAAACCATTGAGATAAAAAAGAGAGCCGTGCTAAGTAAACAGGAGTTGAAAGGCAATGAGCATGAATGAACAGGAAGCGGTTTTAGGACTACTGAGAACAACATATTCAGAAATGATACAGGTGAAACATAACTAACCCATCCACAGGAATCTCTACTGATACGATAGTGATAGACTCGGCCCAAATTCCTCACGGTGACGGAGAGTTGTCCAGGTGCCGATTCGGATTCCCGCACAAGATAGGAGCCGGTGATACCACTTCTAAGAAGCTGTTCAGCGGCCTGACGGGAGACGGCACCGTGATACCAAGGGTAGGTAGTCGTTGCTGCAGCCGCGGTAGCCTCTTCTTCATCGCCCACCCTCCGCCACTCGGCGGTATTACCACAAATTCCACCGACATGTTGGGACCGGACGTGTTCTGTGAGGTAGCTGGTGGGTACCCAACCGCGCACCCACCCACCGGCGCCCGCCCAGGGCACGCGAGGTGTTCGATTGGGAAGGTGAGAAGGGGCCTCGACCTCAGACCAATCACCTGCTGGACTGTAGCCTAGGAGACGGACGATCTCACCTGGAATTGAGTGACAGAGTGACACAGCATAATGGAGAGAGGAAATCTGCCATTTTTGTTGCTGCGATAAGACACGAAATGGCTGGTCACTTAGATGTAACTAGTCCGTGGAAGAACATTGAGCATTGGTTTTATAACTGCGACGAGAGCAGTGAAAAGGGATTTGAACTATACCAAATAAGGTAAAGCAACTAAGGAAGTAAGCTTCTACGATTATTAATGACGAAACGTGAGTGACAGAACAAGAGTCAGTTTTGATGGGTTCGAAGTAAGTAAATATGAGCCAACAGACCAAGAGGTTACAATGGACAGGTGAATTAAAGGTCCCAGGTCTGTCTTGCAAAGACAAACATACTTAAGCAGACTAACGCTAAAATAAAAAAACACCCCGAATTTCTGATAACTTGAGGTTGCCTGGAGGCGACCATTGTACCAGACGGTAAATACCTATACCCTCATAATCAAAGTTAGCGCTTTTGAGAAGGAAAACGGATCTCAAAAGCAACAAGAAGCAATTCAAATCAGTTGATAACCTGGAAGCACACCACCCAATGACTATGGCGCTGGAATACTAGGTCGGAAAGCGGAGACAAACCATCGTTTCGCAAGCACAAGGCGTCTGGGAACAATCAAAAACAAAAAAATTGTCCAGAAGGAGAGCCACTACACCTGAAGCAATGTGTTATCATAAATGAAGCGTCAAAAGCGTCTTCGATGAACAAGTAGAAACCATAAAACGGACGACATTCACTTCAAAATTCTGTCATGATGGAGTTCATTTGATTTACCATTACAGCAAAAGAATAACTGAACATCCAGATGGTCACTAGAGCAATGATTCAAGAGGTCCTTTCAAATGCAATTTTGAATGAATAAGCCCAATACTTAGAACAGCCAAGGGTCAAACATAATCTAGTAAAATATAACATGAGAAGCCCGATTTGACTTTTATAGTAACGAACATCACTCAATTAGTATTAAACTAGTCTGCTACTTGCTCAGCCGAGGGAGAAAATGGAAACAAAGAACCGCATTTATTAAGTGATCGATTAGCAGGGTTGAATAGCTATGGTCTGAGAAGCGATTAAAGTCAAGTAGGCGCAAAATATGATAATTTGGAAACCCACTTGAACGACAAGTTTCCATGACAAAATGCCTAACAAATGACACCAATAACAACTTAAGTAATCAAAAAAGAACCCTGCTACCAACCAATGATGGTGCAGGTATCAAAGATTTAGTTAAGGTGTACGAATTCAATGATTTAATTAACCAGATTAATCAGCCCAAAGTGTTGCGGCAAGAACTGCGTATTGCGCTTGAACATATGAAAGCCATTATGCATACAAAAAATTAGAATTTTTAGTCGCAAACACCACTCGTTACCAACCAGTACATACCTCGTTTAACAGTGAGTTGGGAATCCAAAGTAGCTGCGAAATCATAAAGAACGATCATAATACACTGCTCCATCAGAGTTGAATTTTCAAAATTCTGGGTGACGGGCACCATCTGCTTTTCAACTACTAGAAAATATGATTACAGAAGATTCTGCGAACCAGAAACAGGTTTTGCACACTCGCCACCAGTAGAAATATCATCTGATTGTTGATTAAAGTTTGGCGGGAACTCTGTCTTTTCAGTGCTTTCCTTTGAAGAGGTCGGCTTACCGATATTACCACCCATCTCCACCAAAAATCACAAAACCCCTGCTCTCATCGTTTTCAATTTAAAACCTTTTGGAAGGATGAATTAAAACACAACACCAAAGAATGCAAATTTCGCAATAGATAGTACAAGCTCTATGCAGTAAGCAATAAATAAATTTAGAATTTATCAAATTTACTACAACTTAAAATAAACTTTAAAGACTCATTTAAAAAACGACTAAAATACAAACAACTCCGCTATGAACCACGGCAAAAGACTTACATCATAACATTAGGTTTAATAATGATTTAACCTCAACTTCTACATGTTCTTGTTGTGTGAAAGCATTTTTGCTAGCCAAGACATCTTACTATGCATCATAACACATCAATTTAAGCTGAAAATATATTTATATATATATATCCTACAAGGATAAGAAGAAATTGGGTTTGGGCTTGACCTTAAGGTCAAGCTGTACACAAACGGGCAAGAAAAATGCTAAAGTAACCATCAAACATGCATGTAGTTACATAGACAAAGCACTAAACTTCTCCTCTCTCCTTTCAAGTGTCGTCCTCTCCGATCCCCTACAAGTCATCCCCTCCACTTATCGACTAGCATGGGACTGGAAATCGCACTAGACCTTCTCAGAAGCTTCAGCTAAATCTCCATTTATGTGTTTGGTGTGTGGAC